TGACTTAAATTAATCATGTTAAACCCCCTTATGAATTAAATTATAAAAACTTAGCAAATTGGCAAATTGAGATGGAAGTACTTAATGAATTGAGTTGGATGATCATAATAAATTGAGTTGGTCAGACGGAGGATACCAAACTGGCATTGAACTCAATTGTTTTAAGTAAAGTCAAAGTGAAAAGTTCCCTTTGGTTAAAGATTTGTAAGTTTTGAGTTAAATGAACACAAAAAAGTAAGTTGTCATAGCAAAAGCAAAAATAATTAAGTGACATTAATGTAAATAAATCCATAAGATGAACTGCAGCCCAAATACACTTTTAAGAGTGTATACCAGTGCCATATTATTAGCAATATGTGCAATATACTGAAATTTATGTCAATCACTCTGTACCAACTAGATAGATTAATGTTTAAGTTTATGTTTGTTTTGAAACTGCTCATTAGTGGAAAATGATTAAAAGTTTAAGTTATAAAAAAATTATATTGAAACTCCACAAGGCAAATAAAATCCCATGTTTTAGATGTTTTCTTGAAATCCAAATGAAAAACAATTTACCCTTAATCCATATTCTGGAAACTTACTGTAGTTTCATAAGAGCCCTATGAGAAGGGCCAGACTTCACAGGTTCTGCCTTATGTCAAGTCACCTCATGCTATAAGTTACACTTTGTGTTTGCTGGGTATGCATATTTGTGAAATCCTGTGTTGAACAAGGGCCAATATAAACATATGACCAAAAGAAACAGCTAGCAATCTAAACATTGACTAAGTCTCTTATAGCTGCTGCAGAAATTCAGGAAACTGATAAGTTTCTGTCACATTAAACAATATGGCTGGTAGGTCAAATAACGTCAACTATTACTCAACTTTTCCTGGAAAGGACAGAAGATCTGTATGTGTGTGTGGTAGGTGTAGGGGGCTTACTGAAAATTGTGAAATATAATACGAGTGAAACAGCTACCAAAAGAGAAAGAGAGAGAGAGAGAGAGAGAGAGAGAGAGAGAATGATGACATAGCTGCATTAACTCTGAAACCCAATCCTTTGATTAGGATGCTTAGCAGCATTTATTGACTATTACTCAGAACATTTACACGCATTTGAGCTGAAGAGAAAGATAATGCAGATAATAATGAAACTTGTCAAAAAGGGAAAAAACGGTTTTGTTAAACTAGCTTCATAAGTGGAGATATATAAATATGTATAATTATTATAAATGTTTTACCACTTTTGGAGGGCGCCCCCAAAAGTGGTAAATGCTTACCAATAGTAGAGATGTAGAAGGCTGTACACTTTATAATCGATTCCACAAAGAATCCATTCTCTATCACTCATCATCACTGGTTGATATTAGTCAAGGATGATCTCCTTTATTAGTTGTCATGACAGCAAAGTTCTCTGGCTGTCTAATATTCTATGCTGTGAGAGGTCCTTTGTACACAAACAATTAAAGCAACCCATGTTTGGAGTGTGTGTATTATTCACTGCTTTTCATAATGTATGCATGGAATGCTCTTTGTTGATTTCCCTTCTGTGTAGCATTGCTTTAATTACTTGCTTTAAAAGCTCTACAGTATAAAATCCCAGGACTTATTGTGTATGCAGCACAGTCTACGTTTTATCCGTGAGGAATCTATCAGTGTACAACACTAAGCAGCAACAGCAGTCTAACTTACTAACATCTGCAAAAGCAACAGTCATCATATCAGGTAACCAATCACGGAGATGATACTGAACTGAAGAAGAAAGGAAAAGAGCTAACAGTAACAAAAACAGTCATGTTGCTCAGTCAACATCTAAAATCCCTCTTGATTAAGCAGTGTCCTTTCTCTTCATAATTTACTCCAAAGTTTGCTTCTTCTCCATACTCAGCTTGGCTTGTATTGTGCTAAGTGAAGATTTAATGTTGTCATTAAATTGGTGATATTGAATTGAACTACATGAAGAGCTTAAGTTTTCACATCTCATTCTGTCTGACTGAAGCTGCTTTTAGGAATATCCATTTACAGTGGCTTGTAAAAGTATTCATATCCTGAGAATTTTCCATATTTCATCACATTACAATCACAAACATCAATATATTTCATTTGATTTAATGTGAAAGAACAACACAACATGTAATACAATTGTTAAGAACAAAGAAAAACAATAAGAAAATGGTAATATAAAATTATTACTATTGTTTTACAAATTAAGCACTTAAAAGTACAGAGTATTCATCCCCCCCTGAGTTTACACATTGTGGAACCACCTTTTACTGCTTTAACAGCTGCTAGTCTTTAGGGTTCGCCTCTACCAGCTTTGTGCATCTAGTGACTGAGTATTTTTTTCCATTCTTCTTAAACAACCCAGACTGTGTAAAGCAGCTCAAACTCAGTCAGATTAGATGGAGAGTTTGTGAACAGCAGTTTTCAGATTTTGCCACAGATTCTGGATTGGGTTTAGGTTTGGACTTTGACTGGGCCATTCTAAAACATTAATGTGGTTTGTTTAACCATTCTATTGTAGCCTGGTTTAGCGTGTTTATCCTGAAGCTGAAGCTCTGCCCCGCTCTCCAGTCTTTTTCAGACTTCCCTGACCCCGTTGATGAAAAGCACCCCAGAGCATGATGCTGCCACCTCCATATTTAACAGTGGGGATGGTGTGTTCAGAGTGATAAACACTTAATGTTTTGGATTCTGGACAAAAAGTTTAATTTTGCTAAAAGTTGTCTGTTCTAACTAATTATATGGATCTCCGAAGCTCACCCAGTTACCATGGACCTCTTGGTGGGTTTACTGATTGACATTCTCCTTGCCTGATCTGTCAGTTTTGCTTGACATCCTCTTGTTGGCGGTAAATGGCTGTGTCATGCTGTCTCCATTGAGATTGAACATAGCTGTGTAGGATGTGCACAGTCTGGGTTGTTGTTTTCTAATATATATTTGTCTTAAACTTCTTTACGACCTTAACAAAATATGAAATAATTAAGTTTTAAGAATACATCTGTAAGGCATTGTAAAGAAACTGTCTTTCATCTTGTATTATCAAAATATGAATATCAAAGTCTTTCAAAAGAAAGTATACTTTCTACTAAGAAAGTATTGTTACTTCCGAGATGAGCTGGTGGGATTCTTTTTCTTTTTTTCAAAACTTCTCTGGAAAACTTCCATATGATGCCAGATGCTGCAGCAAAGTTCTTACCCAACTCAGATTCATAGTATTGCAACACAGTTCATGCCGTGTGCTTCATGCTTCATTCACCTCTGTAAATATTGAAGATAGAGGTTTTCCATGGGGCCAATCCGAGGTGTGTCTTAAAGATGACACACACTTCAGATGTTTTTGTAAGATTGTCTTAGATGACCTGGTTACATACATATGTATTAGAATTTATGAAAGTTGATGGTAAAAGGCTGAGAATTCATATAAATGTGTTCACTCTGAACAAATTAATTTTAAAAAAGGCCAAAAGGTATTTGAGACAAAAAAGTTAAGAGAACATGTAACTATAGTTTTTTTTTTCTTTTCCTTTAACAATGATAAAAAGATAAAGAAACACAAGCAAAAAAAAAGCCTCTCTTCTCTAACGTGATTTTGTTAGATGGTTTGCATTTGTATTCTTTATTGCAGGTTATTTGCCAAACCCTTGCCATTATCTGACTAGGTTAAACATGCAGTCCAAGTAGAATGTTTCAGTATTGATAATAAATGCATGGCTTGCAGTTCAATAAAACATGACTTACTTCCACACAAACCTGAGCCCTGGATGCTGCCAATTTCAGTCAAAGGCTGATGTCAGGCCATCAGAAGAAAAATGCAAAATCATAGTCAGGAAAAGGTTCAAAGGTCCAGTTTCAATTTAGTCAAACACATTTGAAGTTGTTTTTACCTTTCATTCTCATTTGGTTTATGAAAGATTATCAGCAAAAAATCATTAAAAATCATTGTAGGCTGCCCTCTGCCTGCAGTGTTTGACTGCTAGTCTAACACAGTGATTGTATTCTTTCTTCTGAATGGTGGCAACACATCACTGGAATAAACTAGTACCTTCCTGGTTCTGATTTACTTTAAAATTACTTAATAAGCCTGATAAATCAAACAACTGATTTATGGTTATAAAATTGTTGCATGTCCATTCATGCATACATAAAATCCCTGTTTTAACCACAATAGTAACATGCATTAATGTCTAACTTGACTATCATATTTACTTTTGAAATTTGGTTTCTGTTCCAACCAGTAGAGGTCGCATACTTTTCAAATGTAGGAGAGGGTTTACCATCAAAAGACCCAGAGATGGTGGGAGTTGACCTGTCTCCTCAAAATACCAACTGGTGAGGTGTAGTATAATTTTATTGCATGTCATCCGCATTTATTCATGTAAAATCAGCCCCTTGTGTTAGTATTGCAGATCCTCCAAAGCAGGGGTATCCAAAGTACTGCTGCTTGTGGCCCTCTGAGTAATGTTGTGTGGCACAGTTAGAGAATGGAGCTAACTCAGATTAGTGCAGATTAGCAACTTTTTTAAGATGTGGGGAGACATTTTCACAAACAAATAACATCATTGTTAAATACAAAATTTTAGGTACTAAAAAAATCATTAATAAATAATTAGGTACCAGCATTGATCCTATAGCTGTGTCCGAATTCAGGGTCTGCATCCTTCGAAGGACTGGTCTACGTAGGACGGGTCCTTCGAAGGCCGGGAATAAACTAAGACCGGAAGAAAAATATCTGTGGATTCAGAGAGGTCTAGCCTTCACCAACTGTCCCCGCCCCCACCTCAGCGTAACTCATGTTGCCAAGCAACCGTGACAGCGCGAAGCAGAGAGCGGAGAAGAAAAAAAAAAAAAAACAACGGAGCCGAAGTTTGTTTTTCAGTCATGTATTACTGATTTCTATATTATTCTTAACTTTTTATAGAAAATAATGTTCCATAGTAAAAAGGAAATCTCTTAGTTTGATTCTAAAATGTTCAAATGTGTACTGCACTTTTCTACAAGGAATACAAATTATTCATTTACAAATATAATACTCTCCACATCGCAGATAGGACATTACGGTTAAATAAACCTATTATGTTTGAAGGCTTAACTTTAATTAATAAATCAAACTCTGCTTTGAAATACTTTATAAACCAAACATTTTTCAACCAGACCTGTCTGAATAATATCGGTGTTTAACTCCCACTCATTGGGGAAAGCTAGCGGGAGTTTTTATAACAATGTGCCAGGAGTTAGGCGTTTTGTCTCGGTGTACCGAACCTGGAGCGCCCGACCAGCTGACAGCTGGAGGGGAGCTGGCTGTTAAAGCAGCGGTAGCAGACAGGTCCGAAAATGTCAGAGCAATATTGTAATTAGATGATGTATTGATGAACCGAGCAGATATTTGAGATTTACACACTTACATTCTCGCTTAAGTACGTTGTACCAAATCACGTTGTGTCATTTAAAGTGTTATAAAGCTAAATAATGTGTCGCTATTCGCCGCCATTATCGCTCTGCCTGAATGCCCAGTTGGAACCCGCAATGAATTATGGGATATCGTGGGCCGTGAAGGATACACCCATAGACATAATATAAGTATAATATTGTACTGTATAATATCCTTATATTATGTCTATGGATACACCGGACCCATCCTTCAAATCTGGGGAATAGAAGGACGCATTTGAAGGAGTCTATGAATTCAGACAGGCCTTGTCGCCACTCTATGACGTAATCGGCCTACAAATCCGTCCTTCGAAGGATGCAGACCCTGAATTCGGACACAGCTTATATTTGTGTTTTTCTAAAACATACATGGTACATTGGAAATGCTTCCCTCTTTTTGAGCTGTTCCTGTCAAACACATGGCATATGCATGTTTGACCCCTGGTTGACTGCTGTTTGAACAATGACCCCTGTCTGATCCTCAGCATCCTCTATATCAGTGGTTCTTAAGGAGTTCGGTCGAACCCAAGGGGTTCGATGAGTCGGTCTCAGGGGTTCGGTGGAGCCTCTGCTGCGAAGGTAAAGACACACTTGTGTAATGTCGTGATGACGCGCCCCGCTTTACCATCACTTACTGCAGAGGATCACGTTACATTGCTTGGCCAATCAGAGCTGCGGAGGAGCACTGATTGAAGGAGTTCCACTCTAAGCATGGATTTGAACTTGTGTCTTTAATTATTTCAGCAAAACTCACCATTTTTACTAAATTCTGTAGCTTTCCGTGTACTTCTAAATCTGCTCCTTAGTCGCATCTTTTCGGGGTTGCTACTGTCTCTAGTGTCGTGGGGATGGTAACACAACTAATATAATTACATTACTAAATCAGAATACCGCAAAGTCTTTATTATTTGTTATAAATTTTTCATTGCCTTAAGAATGTAGAGCTAATTAAATGATCTAAACAAGACCTTAAAGTGGTTCCAGTTTCTCTCGATGGCCAACCTGTTGAAACTGTGGCAAATTTGGGTCGTTCCTGGACAGTCAGCTCAACTTTGCTGAAAACACTGACTATATTTTGAAGAACTGTTCTCAGAGACTCCACCTTTTAAGAAGACTTAGTGATCTTGGGGTGACCCAACTAGACTCTAGTTGGATCACCCCTATGACTTGAATTTGGGGGGAAAAAATCATATTTTATTTATCACTACAGAAGGGTTCAGTGAATGTTCATATGAAAGTGGTGGGTTCGGTAACTCAAAAAGGTTAAGAACCACTGGTCTATATAAACCTGATCCCTCTCATACACTAGGAGTCTGCAGCAGATTAGAAAAACAGGTGGGCAGTGTATAAAGGATAGTTCCTCTGATAGTTCTTCAGGGTGAAAAAAAATCCTGTTAATATTGAAACAACTGATGGCCAGTGAGTTAGCTGCTTACAAATTAGATACAGTAAAAAAAAAAAAAAATCAGGTGAATCCCCAGAGTTAATGTGTGCTGTTTATAATGTATTTTGAGTAAGTACACGTTTAATTAGGACTATGACAATATTAATAATGTATGAATATGTGTCTGACAGTGAAAATTCAGTGTTAAATTTGATCTTTTATTACAAAAAATTTGGGCACCAGACAAGAAATATACAGTGCAGCTGGATTTGTACTGAGATTAAATTACACTCAAGTGGACGCAGTTTAGTCATTAGCTGGCATCAGATATATTCTTCTTCACCAACAAACTGCACGCCTGTTTTTAAAGTTTAATCGGTAATACTTTTATAACAAATTTATGTCAGATCATGATTTCTTGGTTAATGACAA